TTTACATGAGTACTTCTACTAAGCATCTTGATTCATTCCCTAAACACTACATTAAATTGATTCACTCAACTTTTCCCTTTTACAAAATTGTCTTTCTAAAATTTTATCCCCTCATCTAGAGAAATCATCCTATTGTAACTGATAATTTGTTAATAAAACTCTCCTATTGGGTTAATAAAACTCTATTGGGTTCATTTATTATAATCAATATTATTTTAAAAATTCAAGTGTGCATTACAGTAATGATTTAGCACACTTTGTATTCCTTCCTCTCTTAATCTTGTCCATTCATGGCTTTTCCCAATAGACTCAACCTATTCCTAATATCTTTTTTTCTTTTAATGCTCAAATGTTATAATTTCACAACTATGCTTTCATTCATAGTTTTAAAAATGCTTTCTTTTTTTCATACTTTCCTAGATACCTGTGGAAGAATTACTACTTCTGACAAAATTACTTTCTGACCCCCTTTATTTTTCCTACTACTAAGCATGGAATCAGCTTCTTCTCAAGAAGACCATTATTGTTTTTATGAAGAACAGTTTGAGAAACCAAATGTGGACACCAGGCATATTCAGCAGGTTTTTGTGGCTCTAGAAATAAGAAGATAAGGACAGAGGAAAGGCTTCTTACATTCCCTTACACATAGGATGAGATGACTTTTTTAAAAAAAAAAATTGTAATGATCATTCCAATTCACTCTTACCTTCAGTGAGTTACTTTTAAATTACCTAGTAGAACATTTCTAAATATTTTTCCCTTTTTTGAGCTACTAGTATTTCCCTTTTGTCTACTATCTATGCTGTGTATTTTCTTATCAGCCCATGTGTACAAGTTTAATATTGATCCAAAACAGTAAGCCCACATTTCTTTTCTTTCTTTTTTTTTTTTTTTTTTGACACTTGGCTTAAGCATCCTGGATTTGGTTGTACAGTGCATAAAATCAGATTATTCTTTTTATCATTGTCATCATCTGAGCAGATCACCAAATGCCAGAAAAGAAATTTCAACTCCTTATCACCCAACACCACCTCAGAAACACACAAAATTACTTAAAGACCATTTACCAGTCACCAAAAGAAATTTAGCATCAGTTAATCAGATTGGTTCTAGAATCCTCCATATTTTCCTATATTAGCACCATTCTTTGAATATATATCCTGCTTTCCTTTTTATTTTCTTTTTTTCAAGAGCCACGCCTATTTCTTTATCATCAGCAGTTTTAATGCTAAACTCCAATTTCTATTTCATCAGCTTTTACTAACCTACATCTATAAAACCAGCCTATCAGCAAATTTTATTCAATTCTTTCTCTGAGTTGTTCTGGAATCTAACCACTTGTCTAACCCCACTATCAACATCCAGTTCATTTCATTCAGTTACCATCATCACCTCATCTCCAAACTAGCAAATCAGCTTCCTCTGTGCTCTCTGCTTGCACCCCTGCCTATTTTCATTCTATCCCTCAACACATCAGCTGGCAATATTCATAAAATATATATCAAATCTTATCATGTTTTTCTGCTCAAATGCTTCAGGGCCTCCCTATTGTACTTAGCGTAAAGCCAAAGGACATACAATAATCTATATTCCCTACAAGAGCTGTCTCTTCTTTACCTCTTTGGCCTCCTCTTTTTCTCTCTCCCTTTCGCTCTTCACAAGTTGTTGCCCCTGTCAGCTATACTGCCTTTTGGGGGGCATTGCACTAGTTATGCCTGTCCAGTCCTCAAGGAATCCCTCACTCCAAGTCTTTTTTTTTTTAAGATTTATTTATTGATGCATACAAGAGCTGGGGTACAGGACAAGATGGGGGGGTGTGTATGAGAGGATTCACCAGAGACAGAGTGGGGAGCAGAACAGGTGGATCTACTGAAATACACTGCTGAGGTGAGCAGCGGGCGAGGCAGGAGAGGTCTGCTGAGCAATGTGGGTTGCTCCCTGGCCGGTCAGGGATCGAACTCGTGCTGCAGAGGCTGCAGACAGCTTCACAGTGTGGTGCCCAACCCCCTGCACCACCAGGGAGGCCCTCCCTTCAAGTCTTAACTCGAGAATTCCTTTCTCACTAAGACTGCCTTGGTTGCCCTACCTGAAGAATTGATTGTTGTTCCCATCTCTACCCCACCCTCATACCCCTTCTCTCCTATAATTTTCTTCTTGAGACTTAAGATCACCATTAACATAATATATAGTTATTTCCCTTGCTTATTGTTTTCATATTTGATCAATGAGAGTGGTATTTCTACTCATTTGTTTCATTGATCTTTCCTCAGTGCCTGGAATAATGGCTGGCATATATTTGGTGCTCTGTAAATATTTGTTAATGTGAATGAATGAAGATTATTAGAAATACATAACAAATAATATTGAGAAAATGTCAGTGAATATATACCAAATATTACATTGGAAACCTCCCAGAAGACTTTCCATGCACAATGTACTAATTTCTACATCAATGACAGTGCCCGACAAGAAACACTCACCGAAGACAAAAATATAATTGAATTATAGAACATTCTAGTTCAGTCCTACTTTCATTATATTTAGAAACCCTAACACCAATACAAATCACTTCCAGATGTCACTGGGTGTACCCCAGAAGTTTTTTTTTTTTTTTTTTTAAGATTTATTTTTATACAAGAGCTGAGATACAGGCCAGAGGCACAGGAGGGTGAGAGAGTTCACCAGAGACAGAGCGGGGAGGATAACAGTCAGACAACCGAAATACACTGCTGAGGGGAGCAGCAGGCATGACAGGAGAGGTCTGCTACGCCATGTGGGAATCTCCCTGGCTGGCCGGGAATCGAGCCCACGCTGCAGAGACTGCGGACAACTTCACAGCGCTGCGCTCAACTTGCTGTGCCACAGGGGAGGCCTACCCCAGCAGTTTTTGCCCCACATTAAAAGCAAAGCATAGAGGGTCCTCCCTGGTGGTGCAAGGGGTTAAGCACAGCGCTGTGAAGCTTTCTGCAGCCTCGGCAGCACAAATTCGATCGCCAGCAGGCCAGGGAGCTACCCACACGGCACGGCAGGCCTCTCCTGTCTTGCCCGCTGCTCCCCTCAGCAGTGTTTTCCGTCAGTCTGCCTGTTCTGTTCCCCACTCTGTCTCTGGTGATTCCTCTCACCCCCCACACCTCTGGCCTGTGCCCCAGTTCTTGTATGCATAAATAAATAAATCTTAAAAAAAAAAAAGCAAAGCATAGAGAAGTCAGAAAAGTATATCCATAGATGTAAAAAGCCATTCTTGCAGGGATTCAAATATTTTTTGTCTACAACTCCCAATGTTGTGATATATGTTAAGGGCAAGATAATTACAGAATAAAACATGTTTTATAATTCAAACCTACAAAATGATCCATTTATCACAGAAGATTCTCTCATTGAAGTGAAGATGATCTGAATTGATTTCCCTAAGTGTAGTATGCATTTTCCTTTTGTTCAGATTTAAAGATTTTAATATTTTAAAGTCCTTATTTGGACATGATTTGTAAATTACAAATATAAATCTTTAAAAACTTCTTCTTACTAAAGGAAGTGGTTATTGGGGCCTGGGCTAGATGGGAGTGAGTAGAAAGTACAGAACCTCAAAAGCCACAAACTGGAGTTCAGACATTTAAAATTAACTTTCTCCAGACTCAGAAAGAAAATTCCCTTCAAAATATTCAGCCATGAAAAACTATTTAATAGCCTTTCTTCTGGTATATTCCTCTATAAAAATTCCATCCTTTTCTCCCTTGAAATGTGTATTTTTTTAACGTCAGGCTAGCAAGACGGTGCCTTCCTAAACAAATGCCTATATAAAAAAATATTTAAACACTATTCATAAAATTTAGACATTTAAAATAGAACCCAATTAGTAAAGCCCTCTAAATGTTCTTAAAACCATTCCTTTCAGTATTATTGGGAACCATGGATCATCCAGGAAATAATAAACTTTACAGTATTTTACTATCTAACCTTTTAAAAACAATCTAGTTAACAACTTTGCATTAGAATTTTTTTCTGAATAATTTTTAAGAGTAACTGCAATGTTTTATAATATCCCCTAATTAATCAAGTTTCTTGCCAATTTCAGCAACACATTCTTCAAAGTAAATAGTGTAAAAGAACCAATGTAAGTATTTTGAAAATGAGAAATAAAGTAACTTTGTATTTATACTCTCCTGTAAGTGAGTAAATTCTTACAGGTCCATGATTTGGGAAGATAGGAAGCAAAGGAACTCAGAGTTCTTTCTTTGGGGTCAGAATATCAATCTATTTCACCATAAACTATGGCTTCAGTTTGATAAATGAGAGAATAGGAAGAGATGAAGGGAGTTGTAAGGAAATTTGCATTGATTTGATTAAATAAAACATTGGTTTCTCTCATGTTTGCAACGTGGAAGAATCACAACTTGGAAGGGTCAATAAGGTTTCCATGCCCATTTCTGGCTTCCTAGGATTCATCTTGTGGCTTTCTCAATAATTACTGCCATCACTGTGCTGTCCTTAACAGTTTTCCACTACACCAAGCACAGTCACCTCTTTCCTTACTCCCCTACAGCAAAACCAAGAAAAGTTTTCAATGTTTCCAACCACTTTATACCAAGGAAAAGGAATGCAAAATGGAGAAGAAGCAAGTAGATCCTAAATCCAAGATATGGAATCACAAAATCTCATTTGCCCTCTGCAGATTTTAAGCCTTTCCCTGTTCTGCTTAAGTGACCATCATGTAGATTTTTACATTTACATTAAGTAAATATTAAGTAAACAACATTGCAATTGTGCCTGAGAGTTCCATATCTCCAATCTGATTGGCACAGTGATAATCTTTAAACTTTATCCATCTGACTTCCTTGTCCACAATCTGCCTGCTTTCCATAGACACCTCCCAATGAGTGAGTCTTGAAATACTTTCCTACACTTCAGACACTTATCTCAAAATCAAGCATTCAATTATTGGTATGATACTAAAAATACAATATCCTCATTGCAATATTTCCAAAGTTATGAAATCACATTACCTGATTGGACTGTGATGATTTTAGGATGGTAGGGAAGTCATCTTTAAACTCATCTACAAGGTCCATGATTACTTTCTGGAGTCCCTCAACTAAGATAAAAAGAAGTAAGAGCTGGGTCATGCTTAACTAAGGGGAAATGCTTAATTAAAAATGTTCCTTAAGAACAATTCAAGAGTGTGGAACACTGGATCCAACTTCTAGGTAGCTGGAAAAGCAAACGCTAGGGCATATTTATTCCCACTTGTTTCCCACACCCACATCCCCCTCTACCACAAGATTATGTATACTTCTTCCAGAAAAGTTCTTCAACACCTGCCCGCATATCCACCCAACAGGTTTGATTGGCATGATGAGCTCCTGCTTGGGTTCCTGGTGCTTGGCAAGCTCACAGGCAGGGCAATGCTTGTCCTACTCCGCCATTAGTGAGGGATAAGGACAGCCTTCCACTCCAAAAAGCAGACAAGGACAGAACCTGCAACTCACTGCTGGAATTCTTTGTTACTGCACAATGGGCCTCTAAGAACTTGTTACAGAATCCTCTGAATCACTCCGGCAGTGAGAGGAGGAAGAGTGTGTTTGAAGGTCCACAAGGAGGGGAAAAGGGATGGAAAATGAACCACATGAAGGAGTTCTGCAATATAAATTGAATTTGTCCTAATTTCTGCAGTGATACCTCAATTAATAGATCATTTGAGAACAAAGCTCCCTTTGAAAAGAGTTGGCATATGTTTTAAAAGAAATGGGATGCCAAGTGAAAAAGAAACATGAGCAGTTAATTCAGAAAGACTTCTGAACAGAATGGTTTTCCTTCACCCAAATGAGGATCACTAGGTTAAACCCAGGCAAAACTGCAAAGTCTTTGTCTTCTTTAAAATATCAACCTTTTCTTTATATTTCTTGCTCCTAGTATTGTCCTATTTCAGATGACCATTATTTCCCCATTATCAAACTGGAGAAGAATTTCCTGTCATGTAGACTTATCTAACTACCTCACTGTATTCTAGTATGAGTTAAGAGTTGCTTAATTCAAATCCCATTTTAATTTGAAGCTTCTGTTTTAATTACAGCTAGGTCATTCTCTTCATCAAGCACAGAGCCGTGGCTGTTTGAGGTCTATTCATGGGAACTGTTTAGGAAAGAAATATTCATCAGCAGATTTCTTCTAGCATGTGAGACCTACAAGATCCTGCTTTTGACATTGTCCTTGGTCCTACTCTGACCCCCCACACCATAACAACCTCTCCTACCCTTAACAGACTCTGCTTCCTCCAGCCTGACCCCAATGCTTAAGATAAATATGCCTGAACATTTAAAAGTACAAGCCACTGCCAGAAAGAAAATCTTATTACACCCTGATGGACAAACACACTGGGAGTCTGTATGATGACAAAATCCTTTAATTGTCATATTAATATACATGGCAATCAGAGTCTACCTCGGATCAGCACCTTATAGACTCTTCTCTCTCTGTGTTTGTCCACTAATCTCTTGTATTTTCTACTTTTTCAGTATCATTGGGGGACAGGAGGGAGATAATTGCATCTCTACTTTTTCCATGTCCATAGCACTAATTTTATTATCTTATTTAGCTGTATTCTCTAGCACTTCCAAAACAATGTTGAATAATAATGATTACAGCAGAATACCACCGTGTCCCTGTTTTCAAATAAAATGGCTTCAATATTTTACAGTTCACCAAAAAACAATAGCAAATATTACTTTAAATAATCTTTAGCATATTTAGTTTCCTTCTATACCCAATTTGGTCTTATATATTTTTTACTGGGAATGACTGTTGAATATGATCCTTTTTCCTCTTAATTTGTTGATATACTCTCTATTAGTTCTTCTGATATTGGAAACATCTTTGTATTACAGGAAAAAAGAATTTGCACTTGATTATAGTGTATTATTCCTTTGATATTTTGCTGGAATCTATTTGCTAAGATTGCATTTATAGTTTTTTCATGTTGTAACTATTCATAAATAATAATAGCTCATGAGCTCATAATAGCTCATGACTTTTTTTGGTATTGAACAGGTTAGTACTAATTTATGTGAATATGAAATAAGAAGACTTGTATCTTTCAGAAGTATCTATAATAATAGCAAAATTCTTTTTCCTTTATAAAAACTGAGGTACAATTTGCATACAGTAAAAACTATTTTTTAAGTGCTGATGAAAATTTAGTTGTGGAACTACTGGACTTGACATTTTTTAAGAGCTAAATTTATCAATTTAAAATTCATATATGTATTTGCTTATAAAATTTTCTTTCTTGGATAGTTTTGACAATTTAGGGTTTTGTTTTGTTTTGTTTTGTTTTTTTAGGAAATCATCTTATACAAAATTTTTAAAAAAGACAGACCTGCATGTAATTATTTCAATCTTCTGGATCTATATTATTTCTAATTTTATATATTTTCTACTTTTTCTTTAATTCACGATCAGGATGAATTTAAGGTAAGCACAAATTTTCCTGATTTTTAGTTTTCTTCCTTAATAATGAAAGTACTCTCTGAATAGATCTTTCACTTTATCTCATAGATTTTGGAAAGAAGAGTTCCTTTCAATACTTCCTTTGATTTCTTCTTTCCTACACTTTGAACCTATTATAGAAAAGTCATTTCTTTCATTAGTAACTTGTTCAGATTTATAGATGAATATTTCACAAGTGCATTTTCTATAACACTCTAAGACCTATCTTAATTTAAAAAAATTATAATTTCCAAATAATTAAGATTTGATACTATATTTTATTTATGCCCACTTTATTGGTTTTTAGATCAGCGAATATATACCCTACAAAATTTCTACTTTCCTGATATTAAGGTTTCCTTTGCGACCAACTATAAAACCATTTTTTCGTAAATGTCCTAAACCATAAAAAGAAAATATATTTTCTTTATTTAAAAAATATGAAAATACAGTGAGCTGACTTTATGATTGATTATTTAAATCTTGTATTGTTCACTAATTTTGCCTCTTAGCTCTGTTATTAATAAAGAAATGTTAAAAAATTTCACAAAAACTTGTCATTAACTTCCCCCTGCATTTCTCATTGTTTTCATATTGTATCAAGTGCTCATGTATAGTAGTGAACAATGTAAGCTGGCAGACCTATTTTGAAGAACAACTAGTATTATCAAGTACAACCAAAGCTACACATAACTATGATCACCAATTCCAATCTTAGAAATAGTCCCACTAACTTCAGGAGACATCAACTAGACTGGAACTAGAACTAATTAAAATACCAAGAAACTGTGAGCAACCCCAATATCCACTAACCATAGAATTAATAAGTAATAATATATTCATAATGATCACTACAAAGCAATAAAAATGAATGAATTATAGGTACATCCTATATCATGAATATATTTCAGAAATGTAATAATTTTGAGAGAAAAAGATACAGGGGAAAAAAATCACAGCAAGATTTTGCATTTCTATAAGTTTTAAAAACATTCAAAACAAAGCAATAGATTAGGAGTACACATATATGTGATAAAACTATAGAGAAAAAGGAAAGAGAATGATAAAAATAAAATACAAGATAGTAGTGGTTAGCACTGAGGGAGGGATGAAGAGACAGGGCAAGACAGGGGCACATGAAGATTTCAAACAGAATGGAAATGTGCTTTTTCTAAAACTTAATCATGTGTACAGATATTAATGTATTATAATTCTCTATGCCTTGCAACAACTGAAAAATACAGGTATCTTCTCTATATTTAACAAAAATAATGAAATGAAATAACTCAATAAACAAATTGCTGCAGCACTATTTACAATACCCAAACAATGGAAATAACCAAAGTGTCCAAAAAAAACACATGGCAACATGGATGGAGCTCGAAGGGATTATGCTAAGTAAAATAAGTCAGAAGGCAAAAGACAAATAGTGGCTGGTGTCATTTACATGTGGAATATGGAAAAACAAAACAAAGTGTCAGATAAACACAAGCTTAAAAAACTAATCCTTGAGAACTACGGTGATGGTTCACAGGCATTATGGTGGTGGGAGAACTATCAGGACTACACCTGAGGGGAGTAACCAATTACTGTACAAAAATGAATTACATAAGAAAATAAATAAATTAGATTAGAAAACAAAAACAAAAACAAAACCCAAAACAAAGGATAACTATTGAAAGTTGTCTATAGAACTGAAGCATCCAGAAGGGGCAAGAGTACAATAGATACATTAGTGACTATGGGTGCAGGTTCACTACAGTAACTACACCTGAAGTAGGGGATATCTTATATTTCCAAAATACCAACAATATTGTAAGCCAATGTCACCTCAATTTAAAAAATATTTAAAAACCCTGCTACAACAGCTTGTGAAAAATTATTAAAGGTTATACCAGTAAAAATGATAAGGAGATTGGGCCTCCCCGATGGCGCAGCGGTTGAGCACTGGGTTGCAAAGCTTCCTGCAGCCTCTGCAGCGCTGGTTCGGTCCCTGGCTGCTCCCGGGCCACCAGAGGAGGGTCCCACAGGGCGCAGAGACCTCTCCTGCCGCCCACTGCTCCCCTCAGCAGTGTAATTTGTCAGTCTGCCTGCGCTGCTCCCTGCCCTGCTCTGGCTCTGGCGAATCCTCTTAACCTCCCGTGCTTCTGACTGTACCCAGTACTTGTATAAATAAATAAATAAATCTTTAAAAAAAAAATGATAAGGAGATTTCTTTCATTTATTCAATGTTTATTGAGCACCTATTATCTGTCACCACTGTTTTCAGCCCTAGGGATAGAGTAGTGAGCAAAACAACCCCCCTTACTCTACTGGCGCTTACATTCAGTGGAAGAGAATCAAAACTATTTGCTATTTTCTATGAACTTTGAAAAGTCTTTCATTAGTAATTTGCACCTATTTTGAGGTGAATGCTTCACACTTGCATTCTCCAGTAACACTTGAAAAAAATTAACTATCTATGATATAAAAATTCCTCTGATTGAGAAGTGTAACTTATTTTAACCTTAACAATTTAATAAGCTATACATCTGTTTTGAATGAAAATCTTTTCTTATCTCTCACTCATCAAATCTGTAGTCATCACTGTCCATAAGGGTTTCGAGCAATTCTACATCTTCTGATAGAACCCTCCAACTTGGAAATAGGCAATCTATAATTGAAGCATTTCAAGGAAAGAAAATAAATACATATCAAAAACATCTTATTCATAGTGCACATATGTTTATAGTCTTTGGTAAAAAGTCTTAGTTTGGGGCCTTATGTTGGGGCCTCTGAAGACCATGACTAAAAATACAGATTTTGTATTTTGGTTCCTTCATTTATGGTCATAGGATGTACAATTTAATTGTCTAGATATTTAAGCAGATCTCCTTGGTCAAACCAATAGTGTCCAAAAATAATGAAAAAACTGGTTATTTCGTGTAATTCTACATAATTATAAAAAAGAAAATTGTCATGTTCAGTGCTAAAAATGAAAACATGAAAGGATGCATACCATCCTTCTTTTG